GGGTGCGTGTGTGTACGAACATGAAGCTGGTAGGGAACGACATCTTCGCCAAAGGGTGTTGTTGAGGCTGGATCAGGCGTGGCCATAGTTTGAAAACCTCAGCTGGACGAAAGCGACGATGTCTGTCAGCAGAGGAACAGTCGCTTTGCGGCAAGCAAAAAAAATAAAATAGGCCAGGGCGAAGGCTCACGAGCAGCTAACGTCTTGAGACCGGCTCCCGCTGCCCTTTGTTTGGGAAGCTGGAGGGCACTAGGTCCAGGGTCCCCTTAATAAGGCTCTCGATTCGATACGACGTCTGCCCCGATTTGTCATGCAGCAGCTCGGTGCTACTCCTACATGGAAGCCGACCTTGTTGGCATTTGCGTTGACCGAAATCAATTCGATTCAGCCCAGCGCGCGCGTCTCCGCAATCCTCGTCATTCTTTTCCTGCAAGTGTGATCGCTATTACCCACACGGCACACAGCTTTGCGCGCTAAGAGCTTGTTGTGGCGTCCATCCCTGTTCGTCCTTGTTTGGTGTTGGAGGAGTCTGGAGAGAGCCCAACAGGATGGTTTATGTCGACGACGGTCCGAGCCAATCGCCAGCCAGCCAGGCCTGTGTGGAGGGGAATCCATGGCCGGCTTGTTGGTCACGCAACCAGCACCCATTGACTCGTGCGTATTTTTTCCTGTTTGCGCAGCAGGACCATATGCATACCACCAATACTATACCTGCTTCCAGCATGGAGCATGCGGATGAGGCGCGCCAAGCATGAGACAAGCGCAATGTTTCGGAAATGATTAGCAAGGATCTCGCGCCGCCTCTCGCTGGCCATAACACAATGCCCGTCTGTTTTCTCTGGCCGTCGCCAAGCTGGGGCCTCTCCTCCTTGTTGGGCAACAATCAATTCAACAGCCAGGAAAGCGCCTCTGGAGAGCAGGGCGAATGCATGGATGGCACACGTGTGCCGCGCCATTGGGGACGGACATATTTGCCCTCCACCTACCTAATCCGGGCGGCGTTATCAATGTTTGTCTTTCCTCTCTCTCTTCAGAGGTGGAAGAAGCAAGATGCCAGAAAGAAACATTCGAGATTTGGCATCACCGTTACCAGTAAAGGCAGCCAATCACTTCATTGAGGAACTGCTACCCCAGAATTGGGAATCATCCCAACCCCAGGCTGCGGCTTTAACTCTTCTAGGCCGGGCTTGTGACTCTGTGATCCGGCTCAGTACATATGCCGACATTGAAAATGTGGTGTGATGCGTGGTAATTGTCTCACGTGCAAAACTCCCTGCACACCTTGCAGGTACTACAACAGATCAAAAGCGGTAGGGTCACACAATCACTGGGCATGGATGTCAGCACGATCGTGTTGAGATAGATTGCTAATAAGATTGATTTCTCCGTATTCCTTCCGTTGGGATACAACTTTGCGCCACCTTGCATTATAGGACCGTATTGTCTCTGTTCCAGTTCCCTAGGCTTCCCTACATGACGTATTTCATTGCGTGTTATTATTGGTTGTTGTTGGGCTGGTTGCTCCCGCATTTGATTGGCCTCCGCGCAGATTAATCTGTCCAATACGTGAAACAATATTGCTACCGACCGCATCAACTGCGCCTCTGGGGGAGGTGAATGTTGGTCCTGTGGGCGTCGTTTCTTGGACGCGGAAGAGTTTAATCGCAGTGCCGGTCCATATTCCCATATTCCCCCTCGAGATTTGCATCTCACTCGAAAACACCACTCCCCAAAGAAGAGATTCATACCATCCAAGAGCGAGTGGAGACCATTCGAAAGAGTGCACTCGAATTGGTGATGGGTCTACTCCCACTATTTCGGTCTCTTTGATTAGACGGAATGTCTCCTGAGAGACGATTTCTTGTGATAGGGCCTGGCGGGGTAGGACGAGCGATAGTTGTTGGATGATCGTCAAAATGGTGTGAAGTGGAAGTTCCGGTAACCAGGTCTCAATCCATTGTGTTGATGGCTCGAAGCCACCAGTTTGAGACTGCCCACTGATCGAGTATGTTCCTAAACTCGTAGAGCTGTTTTGACGTGAAAAAGTCTTGATGCCGGCCGGCATCTTTCCACGCGCCTTTTCTGACATCCCTCTGACTTGAGTTGGTACCGCGTCCTCGGCGGCAGCTACCGACGAGGCTTGAGAAGCATTCTCACTTGTCGTCGACTGCACAGGGGTTGGTTGATAGTCTTCATCATCACTGTTCTCGTCGTCGTCTTCGTCTTCGTCGTCGTCGTCATCATCATCATCGTCGTCATCATCTTCATCATCATCGCCGATAGCGAACGCTCCATCTTCTGGCACATTTTCCAGTGTTGGCGTTCGTGCTGGAGCGATGGAGGGGCTCCGAATACTGTCAGTTGAACTTCTCAACGAGGTAGAATCAAATGGATCCGTTTGGCCTCCCGATTCTTTCCTCAGCCGTTGACGACGTTCCATTTCTTCCTTTCCAGTCTCTAGTGTGAATGACCGTAGTGCTTCGATGCGCTTCTTATTTTTCAAAAGGGCAATCACCAGCATCGGATTTTCTTGATACTTGTTCTCAATAATAGCATTGATGGATTCAAGAAGTGAGTGCAACAGCGTATGATTGGTTTCGTTGACGAGAAGAAAGCTCGGCGATGACATGGATGTAAATAATTGTAGCAAACGTGAGCTACTGGAGACACTCAACATCTCGATATGTGGCGCGATGTTATTGATGATGGCCAGGAGTGCCGGATAGATTGCTGATAATTTTCCCTGACTAGTGGTGATAAGTGAGAAGATGGATTGAATAAGAAAGTCGGCATAGGTGCCTCGGAATCCATTGATTCGGATTGACGCGGGTAGACTGGCCTGCCCCTCGAAAGCCTTGTTCAGATTTGCACCGAATGCGGTCTCAACACTGAGTGTCTGGAGCAGAAAGACGCACATTCGAACAACGCCATGCTTTGCTGTGTCATTTTTGTATTCCAAAGCATAGAACAATGCCAGAATAACAAGGTCGTGAGCACAACCTGTATCGATGATGAAGGAGCGAAACCTCTTGTTGCACTGGGTAATCTCCCAGAAAAGCATGATGATCTCGGGCGCAAAGTCACCAGAATTCTGTGCTCCTGGCAGATAAGATGATTTCTCTTGCAGTGGCTGGCTGAGGATCCTCGTCATCCCATCCACGATAAATTGGAAATCCTGCGGCCGATGTACGCGGCCAAGATAGTGCCGGTAGTAGTTCTTGGAGGGGGCTGAAGACCCATTTTCGGGGATGGGATAAAGTAGTAGAGCAAGGAGCAAGTGTAGCGAATGTGTCACGAGCATTTGCTTTGTGTCCTTGAACACGAGAGAATTGTAAGGTACTCGCCATGTTGCTGGATTGTACTTGAGTGTTGTGTTTAGGAGGGAACAGAGGCCTGACAAAACGATCTGCTTATCAGAACAAGAGCACATGTAGGTCAGGGCCCGAACTCCTCTCCCAGGTAGGACGGTCGAGGTCATATACATGCTCTGACCGGCCAAAGTCAGAAGGAGCCTCAAGATTTCAGATCGGTTACTTTCGTATTCTTTGGTTGTTGCGACAGTCGAGTTGCATCCTACACCACTTTGCCAGATTGCATACGTAACTTTGGATTTTCCGCCTTGTGCCAAAGGCAAAGTAAATCCAGAGAAGAACAGAAGGTCGATCAGGGTATCGATGAGCTCCTCAGCTAAAGGATTCGCATCCTCAAATGTTTCAGTCTTGGTGGCGTTTGGCTCCGTTTTATCTTGCTGGGCCTCGTCGAATAAGATCTCGTTCGCTATGACAGCTTTACGGGTCTTCATTCTTCGTCTACCCCAGAAGAACCTTTCCTCCCAGCTGGCGAGGGATTCCTTCTCGTACAAGTATGGGAGGATGCGAGTGAGAACGCGAATGCAGTTCAGAGCATCCTTTTCCGGAGCAAGCTCTGGGTCGGGGAAGGAGGGGTGATGTCTAAGGTATACTAGTCTAGATATTGATGCTAGGATCAATGTCTCTAGATTTTCGAGTGCCTTGTCACGAGTTCGTCGGATATCGGCGGGGGAGAAAAGGCTGAAGACATCCTCGGAGGACTCAGGCAACTGCCAGAACTGTTTAAAAGAGTCAGCTGACTAGTTTCTAGCCAAGAAGATATCGCGGACTACGAACCGAAGTCCAGTACTCATCATCAGCTGGAATATGGCGCTCCTCAGAAAGCCTGAAGATGCCCTGCTTGAAGACAAGTTTCGAATCGCTGGCACCCATGGTTCCGATGTCGAATGCTGATTACGAGACAGCTGTGTGATGAGATTCTGGTACCGGATAATGGCGATTAAAGCACAAAAGGAGAGTTAGACATGACGTTCCTCAACGGAACGAAGCTCGTGGAAGCCCAGTGTCTGGACGAGATGGGTAGATGCCGTTTGGTGGCTATCGCAGGTCGGAGTGCTAGGGTGTTCCATATGAAGCGGGTATTACTGTGTACACTCATCAGCATCTCCTCCTGTAGCTGCTTAATAGGTGGGGAACCTAAGGCAGGTTGGCTAACTTGCCTCACCTTAGTACGTGAGTCCCCCGGGCCGAGCTATCGCTACTGCCATCCACCTGGGCCTCAGAGGTAACACTCGGCCCTCGCTCTAGGCCACAAGCCCCACTCTATCCTTATCGATAAGTAGGAAAAGTCGTTGGCGCAAGGTCCTAAGACTTTTTTTGAGGGCAACACTATGGTATGTGACATTGGCGGGGAGTATCGTTGTCTTTGTATGAGCTCGTCGCAAGCTTAGTGACAACTCACAGACTGCGACCATGATTCGCTCAAGGAGAGGGGTTGATTTGGCTGTTCAAAGGGCTGGGCTGGCCAGAACTCTTCGCTCCCCGACATGCGCTCGCCGGGGTTTGTGCTCGACGACTCATTTACGACATGCATCGCGACGTGATTCGGAGAGAAGAAAACCTGGTGATGGTTCTTCTAGATACGAGGGACGCGTTCACAAGGAGTTGGATACAGCACGTATCCAGGGATTTATGGAGGCCTTTCGAAGATCCAAGGGTATTCACAAGGTTGAGGATAACAAGGCGGCACCGTCAAGGGGGTCGTCCGCTGCATTGAGCGGCTGGACTACGCTTGAGGAGCGGTCGGGAGCGAGATATGACAGACGCTCCTCCGGAAAGCGAGAGGACACAGACGAACTCAGTGACGAATTGTCCGACCAGCGATCGAGCCAAGCCCCGGCATCCAAAGAACTCGATCCAGTATATAACGATCTCGATTCAGCATATAACTCTGTATACGGCATCGATTCGGCATCGACGTATGGCCACAGGGATGAGACCCTCGCCGAGAATCTGTCCGAAACGCCAGAGGCCTCAGCGTCTCCTACACATGCACCTAAGAAAGACAGGCAGAAACAGCCAAAGCAGAGAGCAAAGAAGCGTTCTAAGAAGGATTCTGAGCTTGGTGTCAAACGCCTAAAGCCAAAAGATCTCAGGCTCACGCCGATCGAAGAAGAAGAAGAAGAAGGCATCAAGGTGCCACACCTGTCGTACGGGCTCGATAAAGTTCTCTTCAACAGCGGTGTCCATCAGATGCAAGACCAGCGGTCGAAAGTATATAATTTCGACCCCTACCTCACCTCAATCATGCCGATTGACCAGTTTGATTTTGACGCTCTTAAAGCCTACATCACTTCGTCCAAAGATTCGAAGCTGCGGGCCATCAGCGCCAAGCACGGAAAGAAATATTGTGGTTCTACTTCTAGCATGACAGCTCTATTGTCCCATTTCCATTTTCTTGTCTCGCAATGGCGTGAGCCAAACTATGATCATTTGTCCAAGGGCATCAAGATCGAGTCGCGCAATTTCACACTCCTAAGTCGTGCGCCGGCTGCAGCGTACGCCAGACTCAAGGACGGTGTTTATGCGATCGATGCCGACAAGGAATTTGACAGGGAAAATGTTCTCAGTATGTTGGGTAAGTCGATGGAAAAGCTTCTCACACTTCCCAAAGAAGATTACGAGAAATATCGAATCAGTCGTTCGCATCTCCTTACCGAGGAAGAACGGAATGCCGACGAAGCTTTTCATTACACCACCTTGGGTGATTTCATGATGCGTTCCCAGCTCGACGCTTATGATCCTCGCCTGCCTGGCACTGGCGTTTTTGACCTCAAGACTAGGGCTGTTCTTACAATTCGAATGGATGTCCATGACTATGAGAAGCGAAGAGGTTATGAACTCACCCAGCGATTTGGCCAATTTGCCTCATTCGAGAGAGAATACCATGATCTGATCCGAGCGGCGTTTCTCAAGTACTCTCTCCAGGTTCGAATGGGCAGAATGGATGGTATTTTTGTTGCATTCCACAACACCCAACGTATCTTTGGGTTTCAGTATATTCCCTTGGAGGAAATGGATCATGCACTCCACGGCACTGAAAGGCGGGAGCTTGGAGACCAGGAATTCAAGGCCAGCTTGAAGATCCTAAACGACCTGCTTGACCGTGCCACCAAGAAGTTTCCTGGCCGCAGCTTGCGTCTTGTCGCTGAAGCTCGCCAGGGCAAAGTTCCCTTCATGTACTTCTTTGCTGAACCAGTCTCGGATGAGGAAATGAAGGAGTCCGACGAAGCTTCGACGGAGTCGACGATGAAACTTGCGGAGGAAATCATTGACCAAAGTCAGAGAGAGCGTGAAGTATTGGAGTTGACTCAGCAGGAGCAGGAGCTGGAGCAAGAACAGGAAGCGGAATCGGCGGTTGATGATTCCGAGAAACCTATTGATGAAGGGGTTGTAAAAGTGGACGATGCTTGGCGGGCTCTGATGGCGAAGGTGGAAGAGACGATCGAGAACGAATCACTCGGAAAGGGTTTTATCAAAGAATCACTACACGATGCCCTCGAGGAAGTCGATTTTTTAAGTGACAGCACTGCAAAGGAGTATGAGCAGGATCTGGATGCATTGGTGGAGTCTTTGGCCGATGCATTCATCATGCCGGGAGAAACCCGGGAGGCATCGGAAACGAACGCTGTTGATGAAGACTCGAACTCGAACAACGGATCGCCGAGTGTTGAGACAGACCCTAAGCATGATAGCCCTCCTTCGGAGCCAACCGTTGAGGTAGCGTCTGAGGCTGATGCGCCCACCGCACCCGTCGGCGAAACATCCAAATCCGATACCTTGAGGGACTTGATTATCCAAGTCACAAAAGGTATCGAGGATAAGAAAGTTGAGGAATTGGGTAAATTCGAGCGTATGCTAGCGGAACTCGCTGCGAAGACAAAGCAGGCATCCACCAAGCCTGATGATAACGCGACGGACGAAAGAGAGTCGTCTACTCAACCTCCCGTGGTTACTGCGCCCAGCAGTATTGATGAGCCAGAGGGCGATGAGGCTCCTCAGCCCCCCGTGGATACTGCGCCAAGCAGTGTTGATGAGCCAGCGGGCGATGAGGCTCCTCAGCCAATGGAAGAGGGAACTCCGCCTTCAGACGAGCTAGAGTTTAAGTATACGCCCCCGAAAGACATTCTTGGAATGTTTGTTACCGTTCGCAACCATCAAAATGGTCGACCGGTAGATCGCCCTGAGCTTGGCAGCGAGAAGAAGTTTTCCTGGGTTGTCGAATATAGTATCCAGGAACTCGAAGATTCAGAGGCAAGAAGGATATATGCTCAATCCAGAAAACGCCGGTTCGACCAGTTCGACAGCATCAGGAGGAAGAAGGAATCAGGCTACCAGCAGCATTTTCAGTCGATGATGCTTCAGCTGTCGGCAGCGGGTGCTAAATTCCGCCGGGCTTTTGAAAACGAACAAAAAGGAAAAGACCTTCTCGTTGCCTGGGATAAGAAGCCACTTCCCAAGGAAGAGGAAACCTCGAAGAGATAAAGACGTAGGTCAACGAAACAGATGACGCAGCTTTGGTTGGGCGCGTTTGTATATTCTACTGTATATTCCTGTAACACTACTACAACATGGAAGCCATCTAGCGAAGGCACAATAATACCATCCTCACTTGAGTTTCGAGAGTATCGAGCAACGGTACGGTGATGCTGGGTAATGAATGGCACGTATACCTAGGCATCTACGCTAGCAAGTGCACGGTAGACGCGTGGATCGCGTGGCGTTTTCTCCAATGTGAGAAGAAAACGATGCTATCAATCTTCAAAAGGCTCCACCACCATGGCTTCGCATAACGAGTGAGTTGCCGGGGGATCAGACCTGTTGAATTGATACGAATTAAGGATGAGTTACGCCATCCTGAAAATCCGTCCCGACAGGTGCCAACAGCGGCCGCACTAGCTAACGGCCCCTAAAGGCTGAGAGCGAGAGGTAGGTAGGTAGATTATAGGTACTATAGTAGCACAGTTAACGGCCTTGGTAGAGTGGAAGCCGCACCTGAACTGGGGAAAAGGCAGGATGTTGATTTCATGCTGAGCACTGACTTCTCCCTCCGCCAACTTCGCCTCACATCAACATTACCGCGCGCGGCCCAAAAACCCAAACAGGGACGTACGATGGGATAACTAGAGTTCGCATAGCCAATCTTTTGCTTTTTTCTCGTTGAGAGTCGAGTGCATGTACCTCGGAATCAGACCGGCACTCAAGGCGCGGCCTTCGTTGCTGGATCTCATCCGCGGGAGCGGCGACAGCGGTGGTCTCAGCGGGCTCAGCGGTTCAGGCAGCAGTATTGGCGCAGGGTCAGAAGGCTCCAGCACCGCCACCGTAGCGACTCGGCCAGGCCCAGACACCACCATACCAGCGGCAGCTACATCATCGCCTCCACCTCCACTTGCTGCGCCAAGACAGGCCCCCGGTTGGCTCAGCACTACAGCTCTCCAGGTAGCTTCAACTCTGCCTTTGCCAACCTCTCCACCGACATCACCGATCCTTTCAACGCCGCCTCCCTATCCTCCTTCACGGCCAGCCTCGCCGTCTTCCTCCGAGAGCGCTGATCTATCCACACAAGAGCCTGCGCCTGTCCCAGCTCCTGTTCACGCCCTGTCCACCATGGCTCCCAAGGTGCGTTGTTGTCTACATCATCGACAGGTTGCACCTTCGTCGCGGCCCCGCTGACATGCATCATCTCTAGAACTCGGTCGCCAGTGATGGCGATGAATCTCAATCTGGTACCTATCTCCTTGTCGCCTCAATCTCACCGCGCAATGATTATTGACAGCTTCCCCAGGCAAGATTTTTTCCGTCTCCGGGTCCGTCAATCCCTCCGAAACTGGCCGCAACGCAACACCTTCCAAGAGCGAACCCATGCTAACTCGTTTGCAGCCCCGTCGTTGTCGCCGAAGATATGATTGGTGTTGCCATGTACGAGTTGGTGCGTTGAAAATCCGTCCCAGATGATGGCCGCACTGTCGTCGGAATTCCCGCTTACGCTCTCGATTAGGTCAGAGTTGGACACGAGAACCTCGTTGGTGAAGTCATTCGTATCAATGGCGACCAGGCATCTATCCAGGTTTACGAAGAGACTGGTATGGCACATCAGAATGGTCCTGAGAGCCCCAAGATCAATTGCTAACCTCCACTACAGCCGGCGTCTCAGTCGGTGATCCCGTCGTTCGAACTGGCAAGCCCCTGTCCGTCGAGCTGGGACCTGGTCTGCTCAACGGTATCTACGACGGAATCCAGAGACCTCTTCAGGACATTTCCAACATCTCACAATCGATCTATATTCCTCGCGGTATCGCCGTTCCTGCTCTGGACCGTAAGAAGAAGTGGGATTTCACCCCCTCGCTGAAGGTTGGCGACCACATTTCTGGAGGTGATGTTTGGGGTACCGTGTTCGAGAACTCCTTCATCTCCACCCACCGAATTCTCTTACCTCCTCGAGCTCGCGGTGTCATCACCAAGATTGCATCCAAGGGCGAGTACACTGTCGCCGAGAACCTGCTGGAGGTCGAATTCGATGGTAAGAAGACCGAGTACCCTATGATGCAGAGCTGGCCCGTCCGTGCGCCCCGTCCCAGTTCCGAGAAGCTCAACGCATCCGAACCCTTTATTGTCGGTCAGCGTGTCCTCGACGCCCTTTTCCCTGGTGTTCTGGGTGGTACCGTCGCTATCCCTGGAGCTTTCGGTTGTGGAAAGACCGTCATTAGCCAGTCCGTCTCCAAGTTCTCCAACAGTGATGTCATTGTCTACGTCGGGTAAGTTTTCTAACTGAGAATATGATCTGCCTCATGCTGACTGACTCTTCGAAGATGCGGTGAGCGTGGAAACGAAATGGCTGAAGTTTTGAAGGATTTCCCCGAGCTCACCATCGATGTTGACGGCCGAAAGGAGCCCATTATGAAGCGAACCACCCTCATTGCCAACACTTCCAACATGCCTGTGGCTGCACGAGAAGCTTCCATTTACACGGGAATCACTGTAGCCGAGTACTTCCGTGACCAGGGCCTGAATGTTGCCATGATGGCTGACTCCTCTTCTCGATGGGCTGAGGCTCTTCGAGAACTGTCTGGTCGCCTGGGAGAAATGCCTGCTGATCAAGGTTTCCCCGCTTACCTGGGAGCCAAGCTCGCCTCCTTCTACGAGCGAGCCGGTCGAGTCCAGACCCTTGGTTCCCCCGAGCGCGTTGGCAGTGTGAGTATTGTCGGTGCTGTCAGTCCCCCTGGTGGTGATTTCTCTGATCCCGTTACTACTTCCACCCTTGGTATCGTGCAAGTGTTCTGGGGTCTCGACAAGAAGCTTGCCCAGCGTAAGCACTTCCCTTCCATCAACACAAGCGTCTCGTACAGCAAATACACCACCGTTTTGGATAAATTTTACGAGAAGGAGAACCCCGAATTCCCCCGGCTGCGCGACCGTATCAAGCAACTTCTCTCAGACTCTGAAGAGCTTGACCAAGTCGTGCAGTTGGTCGGTAAGAGTGCACTGTCCGATCCCGACAAGATTACTCTCGACATTGCTGCGCTTGTCAAGGAAGATTTCCTGCAGCAGAACGGTTACTCCGACTATGATCAGTTCTGCCCCATCTGGAAGACGGAGTGGATGATGAAGCTCATGGTTGGATACCACGACGAAGCCCAGAAGACCATCGCCCAGGGCCAGACCTGGGGCAAGGTTCGCGAGGCCACAAGCGACATCATGTCTTCTCTGCGAACACTCAAGTTCGAGGTGCCCACCGAGGGCGAGGAGGCCATCACCAAGAAGGTACGCTACAATCCACATCTCCACTATGACTGTTTGCTAATGGTTTGAATTACAGTACGAATCTATTCAACAGACTATGTTAGACAAGTTTGCATCAGTCCTGGACGAGTAAAGGATCCTTTTCGGGGTGGAATACAATAGCGGAGGGTTGAGGCTGTCTGTCGCCTTGTAAGCAGAAACCGTTTCATAGAGGTTCAAAGGAGCTTGGGAGAGAACGCGCTTGTGTTTGGCTTTTTTTTTTCGTTGAGCATGTCAAATCAGTAACAATCCTACTGTTTACGCCGCTTTTCCCTTTACAATTTCAGACCTAGGTGTAATGAGGTGTGCTGCCTGGAATAAGCCGCGAGTCGACATATCCGTCTCAGAGCTTGTGAAGTTACATTTTGATATTGACAGTGTGCTGACCCACCATAACAATCCGTCCTGGCACTGTGCTCCAATCAATCGCCTCACTGTTCTCCAAAGCAGGCTCTTGATAGACGGCATGATTCGCCATCGCGCCCAGGCATTCCCTCGTCTCTATTCTATTTTTTTACGGTAGCCCGCATCCTAGCCGGGAAGCTACATAATGTCGGAAGAGCTCCAGGATGAGGTAGAGGCCATCAATTCCATCTACGGCGAGGGGACGCTCTCCCCCGCCTCGGAGGACTCGTCCGAGTACATCCTCAACCTGCCGGGCGGCGCGTCGTCGCTGCGGCTGCGGTTCCCGGCGCCGTACCCGGAGGCGCCGCCCGAGGTCCTGGGCACGCACCACAGCTCGGGCGGGAGGAAGGGCGCCGGGGCCAGGGACCTCGCGCTGTTCGTGGATGCGCTGGGGAATGCGTTCCAGCCGGGGGTTGTATGCCTGTTCGACTCTGTCGAGGAGTTCTCGAGGCGGTACGAGGAGGAGGTGGCGGCCGTCGTCGAGGAGGAGGAGGGGTTAGGAGAAGCAGAGCACGAGGATGGGGGCGAGCCGGAGCTGGATCTGGCGTCGCTGCCCACCCCGCCGTGGACGCTGTCGGAGCTCATCGTGGACAGCAGGTCGACGTTCCTGGCCCACGTGGCGCCCGTGAGGTCCCCGGAGCAGGCGAGGCTATACGTCGCGCAGCTGCTGGCGTCGGATAGGAGGATCCGGTCGGCGACGCACAACATGACTGCGTGGCGGATCCGCGGGGAGGGGGGCGCGAGCTACCAGGACTGCGATGACGATGGGGAGACGGCGGCTGGGGGCCGGCTGCTTCATCTCATGCAGCTGATGGAGCTGTGGGATGCCATGGTGGTGGTTACGAGGTGGTATGGAGGGGTGAAGCTGGGGCCGAGGCGGTTTGCGGTCATCAACGCTGCGGCGCGGGATGGGTTTGTGAGGGCGGGCATGGTGGTTGAGAAGGACAAGGAAAAGGATAAGAAAAAAGGAAAATGAGTTAATGAGTTATGAAGTTTCCCCTTGTGAGACGTGAATGAGTAAGTGCTATCTCTACAACTCTCAAGGACGACAATGGCGACGACCAAGACGACTAAACTATTTACACTGGTAAAGGCGATGTGAAGAGAAAACACTTGCTTTTATTTCCATATCATCATGTATCCCGAACCCCAGGGACACGGCCTACGCATCTCATGAAACACCCAGGATGTACGTTACCCAACAGCTCTGAAAAACAGTGGTGTCACCCGAAAAGCCAGCCCAATACCAACACAACCGATACAATGGACAGAGAACTCCTCGCAATATGATTAAACATCAAATGGCCGCCCAAAGTAGTTAGAAACCCAAACAAGCCCCTCTTGATTCCTTTTTCGTTTTTTTCTTTTTTGAAGCTAACTCATGTGATTCAGTCCTTGGAGAGAAGAGGTCTCAGAATATCCAAGGCCCGTGGGGAGTGCTCCTCTGGGAGGATGACCGCCCCGGCTCTGGCAGTGGAAAGGTACGATAGCTCCGAACTCGCCGTCATCTGCATGTCCTGCACTAGCTTGCCTGCCACGCCGCAGATTATGCCCGTGACCTCGGATGAGAGATTCAGCAGGTCGAGGAAGATGGCGATCTGTGTGCCTTCCTTGTCGCCGATAAGTGACTCACCGAACATTTCGAGCAGAGACTTATCCAGGAGCAGCGATGGGGGGTCGTCGTGGGTGAGAGTAATGGACAAGAACCTGGGCTTCGCGGCGAGCGCGGCGACGATGCAGGTGTAGAGCTTGGCATCGATAGTGTCTACCCACGTGCGGCCCCCCGTGTGACGACTCCTAGAGGGTCGATGATCGTAGACCTCGTCAGTGATGGGCGAGATCTCACGGCCCGAGCACTGCACAAGCTCCAAGCCGTCTACTACAGTAGGCGCGACCTTCCTCTTGCTGAGGAGGTCAAAGGCCCGTGCCTGGAGCTCGGTGATGCTGGCGGGAGGCGGCGTCCTGGGCGGCGAGGCGCTCCCGCTGGACGTCCTCGAGCGGCTGTAGGTGGACGAATTGACGTACGAGGTCTGGTTGTGGGAGAGCTCGAACCCCTTGGAGAGCAGCGCCTTGACTACGTTCTCCTTCTCCTTCACCGGGACGAGGATGAAGTCGGAGTAGTAGGTCGAGATGTAGAAGATGGAGATGCCAGCCAGCGCGAGGGGGGACGTCAGGTCCATGACGCGGCTGGCTGCGTCCAAGCCTGCACTGATGACGGCGAGGATCACATACGTGGTTTGAGGTATGTCAACCGTCCCGGCCAACTTGGGCGGCAGGTTCCTGATGATGGGTTCAAACACATTCTTGGCCCAGGAGCTGTGGCAGACTATAGAGACCTCGATGGGCGTGACACTGATGTTGAGGAAGTTGTGCTGGCCATCGGAGGTTAGTCCCTCGAGCCCATGCCCAAGGCCATTCTCTGAGCTGCCCGGGACGTGCTTGCTCTGCGGCAGGAGGAGAACCTGGAGGATGGGCTGGACAAAGGACGAGTAGAGGGCCAGGGGGATGTGTATCAGGCTGTACTCGCCCTCCTGGGCATCTCACCAAGTCAGCAAAGCGGTTGCGACTCTGGCAGCGGCAGCCCCCAAAAGGGGATCCCGGGGGACAGAAGCTGCAGGAAACCAAAAAGCACGGGATGCATATGAAGTTTCTCGATGCAAAGTCGTGTAATTCATGTGACAAAGAAAACGGACCCAGATGATGGGCGATAAGAAAGGACCGAGAACCGGGTCTTATCACTCGGCCCAGTGGAATGTGATTGGACGGCGAGGGGCTAACTCACCAAGAAGGATATCTGGGCGTTCATGGCTGGATTCTTGGTAGGGATCCTGGAGAGAATCGGCCGAATGGGATGGATGGATAAAGATGAAAAGATGAGAATCCAGTAGTCTGGGCGATGGATGGATGCTACCTTGAGAGAAGAAGAGCAATTGGGGGTTGGAATTGAACTCAGTTTCGCCGGTTGTCTGGTAAGGTTTTATCAAGTAGAGTCCCTTCTCGTGACCAGGCCAAACAACCTAAACAGTCCCAAACCAATGTGCAACCCCAGGCGCCAGACAGAGCATCTTCCTCCAGGGCAACGAACTGTCTGGGGAGAAGGAAGGAGAGAGGGAGGAAGACGGGGAGGAAACGAGAGAGCCGCCCGACGGATTATAGATGGCCAGCACAATACGGCAAGCCGCCGCAGGAGGGGCTCAGATGGGTTAAGATGGCCCGGGACTGGTGGGCCTCATACGTAGATTTATCTATGAATTATTCCACTTGCAGATGAGGTGGCGGATGGCCCAAAGCGGGAGCAAGCAGGCAAGCAGCTTAGTTAGAGGCACCTCCAGGCAGGTGTATGATAAGTGCAAGATGCCAGCGTCAGTCAACCAGGGGTGGCCCCCAAGCAGGCCCAATGCCCAAGGCGGATTACCATGCCCGGCATCCCAGTAGACTCACTCACTGGATTGAAGATGACGGAGGAGGCAAAGGCGCGTTTGCCTACCTGAGTTAATTACACATTGGGCTGCAGGAGAGAGACTCTGCACGTTATCACCCAGCCAAGGCCTAGACCCAGGCGGGCTTGGCGCATCTTTTTCCCTATCAAATATGGGCTTCTTTTTTTCCGCCTAGGCCTCTCCACCGTTTCTAGAGGGTCTTGAAGCGGTTCGCGAGGGACCAGGGTGCCTTCGAACCATCGGGGAGTGGGGAGGAAGACTGGCCGAGTGTGGAGTTGGAGGTCAGCGCACACACACCACCCACGACGGCAACTTGCTTCTTTCGAGCAGCTTGCAGAGATGTGCAGAGATGCAGGGCGCAGACGGGCACCTGAGTGGCTGCAAGGGTGGTGGTGTGCATGTAGGTACAGCGCCGGTCGCTTCGGGAGGCAGCTGAAAATGCGGAGAGCCCAACCACACCTCCAGGACGAGCATCCAGCCCTGGCCAAGAGTACATGAAACGGTAGTCCTTCTCTTCTGCTCGTGTTTATTGTGTCTAGTTCACTTTGCTTTTGTCGTGTCGAGGCGGTAGTTCATGCGCATCATGGCCCAGCACAAGTATCGTATACTGCGTTCTGCTACTTCAGCGAGCCATGCTTGATGGGACGGGAAACCGAGCTTCTGGTGCAAGACAGATGCCCTGGCCCGCATCGAGACATGCCTTACGCATCCTTGTCAATCGGCCATTGTTCCTGCGCTTTCCTTGTTTTCTGGGGCACCAAGTCGTCCTGTCTGCATCAGCAACCAACCACACTCCTTCTGAAGGCAGACCTATTCGGCACGGGCGATGCACCCGTCATCGAAGTTATATCCTTGAGTACCAATGGCTGCCTGTCCCGGCGGCCCAAGTGAGATTCTGTCATTAGACACCCCATAATAAAAATACTGAGTGATCATCTGACAATGGATTTTTCCAACTGTCATATCCATTGTGACAAGCTCATCTGGATGCCCAAGCCCCTTTTTCTCCAAGTCCCTAATCTTCGTATTTCTCCCGTCTCTTGGATTTCTTGACTAATATGGCTCGGTTATCTCTCTTCGTCCCGTTGTGGACACTCTCGGATCCCCGTAAATTGTAATCGCTCAGGTATCCATCGCTCAACTCTTCCAGAACACAATCAGAATTTGTCTTCATTATTAGTAATATTGTAGCATCATGCCTGATGCTCGCATGAGGCAAAAGGAAAAGTCTATTTGCATGCATAACCCCCTTCATTAGCCCTCTGATTACCATGTAAGTGGAAGCACGGAGCTCCACACCCGAGCAACGAGATATTGTCGCAACCGTTTCATGATCCTGCTCAGCATTAACTCTCCATAATGTCATATGAGACGTTTTGCTTTCTGTCTAGACTCTGCAGGCGTCAGGGTCGCTAAACTCAATTACTCTAGTCCAACGCCTCAATCACACCACTCTGACAGTCACTTCGCGTATGAAAGTTCATGGGTCCGAGCAAATATAGCCGGGACAAATCACAAGCGAGAACTGCCTTACAGTGTATATGTACCCTTTCTGTGCCTCTATGTACGAATGACTCTATAGAGTAACAAGAATTGAATATCATCTTTTCGGATAGCGTCGTGCGTATCAACGCTGTGGCGGAAGACTCGGATAGGACCCCTATGACCAGGTACACACTCGAAGAGAATTATGCAACTTCAGCTCTAAATAACGTACGTCCCGGGATGGCCAGTCACAAACCGGGACCCTTTCCGAGCCAACATTGGCAAAGGTCTTCCAAGACATGAATTCAATATTCGTTGGTAACTATTTGAGAGGCGTAAACTAAGAACGGGGCCTGTATCGAATAGCTTACCTTTTTGGGTAACTATCAAAACTTCAGAAATGATCTGTCTTCTGTCATTTTATCACTATTGCATTTCTAGAAACATAACACTTTGTGTACAAGCGCCGTTTGTCTCAACTCTGGCTACCTCCTACCCACACACACTCAGCTGCCCTCATGCATGGTAAACAGATGCAGGGAGCCAAAAACTTACATGAAAAGATCATTGCCTTATTCGTGCCTGACTGGCAGCTAACCGATGCGCATGCATGTAGGAACGGTGCCAGCCCGTTACAGCGCAGAACAGCATCCGAGGTGGATAGGGGCCGGCAACAAGCAACCTTCATGGACGGGATGGATGGATGGATGGATGCGATCGTTGGTCAGGTGTTTGAATCGTCACTCCTCGAGCATTAGCCAATACCTGACCCCCACGACAGCCGAGAGTCCAAAAGAGTCGCATGCATCCTGGGCTGTGTAGCACGAAAAAGATTGGTGCTGCCTTGGACGGAAGGGGAGCAGGCAGACAGCCTCTCCAACTCGGATACCCAATTGAAGCCTACCCAATTAGTATATCACTAAGACGGGATGTAAAATTCAGTTTAAACCGGCCCGGGTGTTAGGAATCCGGCATTCCTCCTGAATTCCATTCCAGTCCAGCCGATCCCCGTGCCTCGTGTTGAGACTGCGGCGTCGAACCCCCACAACCGTCGCCTCGGGTGGGAAGACAAGCATACGCCACCATCCATGTCGACCTGCATGTGCGTACAGCAATTGCGTCTCCCTTCGAGTCCTGTGTCTTTACCCGGGGCACAAGCTTGCCAAAGTCGGCCGCCCAGCTTCTTAGAGCCAGCTGCATGCACCACAATGGCAAAAGGGTTGGGGGATACGACAACACAGTGCTGTGCCACCCCTGAGGACGGGGAGGAAACATGAGGGGAGGCGAGGAAAGAGCAAATCCGAAAACGAGGACACGGGTCGCCATAGAGTCAGCTGATCTTTTCTTCCTCACGCCGCTGCACTGCTACGATGGCGAGAGCACGCTCTCATATATCGTCAAACTCTGGTTGCATGTGTGGTCAAGTGCACCCGCTGCATGTTCAGTTTAGGAGAATCCCAGCCCTGGTTGATTGGCTGGTCGGTCTGTCGCCTGGCATCGCTGGATACCTTGGTCTCCAGCAGGGCGGGTAAGTGTCCACTGGCTCACCCTTGTTGAGAGGATGCCCTGAATGCGAGCAAGACCCCTGGTCCCTTCCTCCATGCGACTGGCACATGCATGAGATACCTGTGGGCATGTGGGAGGATGCAATGGAGGATATGCCGTCACTCCAACTGCCGATCCGAGGCCTGCTGGTAGCGTCACATCATCCGCTTCTCCGGCCTGTGTTCATGATTTTTTTTAATTTGTGCTGCGCTGTTCTACTTCTTGATTCCTACTACCACGAGATTCCGCGGGCTCTGCTTGAAGTCGAACACCGTTTCAACCCATGACTGGTCGACTACGTCGCTGTGCTCCTGGAGAAACGTCCACCTATCGGACACGATCAGAGATTCCACCACAATGGCACTGAAGGCCATCAAACTCCACACGATGGCGAGCTCCTTCTTTCGCGGCTCGAACTCCCTCTCGTATCGCTCGATCTCCTCGTCCGTCAGCGCGTCCATGCTATTTTTCAGCTGGTCATTGTACTCCTTGAAATCAGTGTTCGTCGACAGCTTCTCCACCGCGCAGTGCACGTAGCTCTTGAACGAGTTGTAGGCGCTCTTCTTCACGGAGCCGATGATGACGGGGTTCGTGCTGACGTCGAACGGGCTCTCTGCGGCGCCGTCCGTCTCCTCTCCGGGGGCTGGCGTGCGGTGTCGGATCTTGTCCACCACGCCGCGGTCCAGAAAGAGTTTCTGCAGGACTGCTCGGAAGAAGTGCCGGGTGAAGAACCCCTCGCTCTCGGTTCGTGTCCAGTTTTCCAGCGCTTGGCAGGCCATCATCCGGGCTGTGATGTTCAGGCGGATCCCGTCTCCGTCGTGGGTGGAAAATCGGTTGCTCATCGGGAAGCCCTGGGGATCGAATTTCGCCGACTCCCTCACTACTCTGCCGTTGACTGCCTGTAGTGTCGGCCGTAGATAGGGCTGCTTGTAGGTTGGGGGGCCAAGCTTCTCTGTGAGTAGGTTGTAGCAGCATCCCACGATAGCCACTGCCCGGATATCAGGGTTCATTAGAAGAGACCGGATCCCAAAGTGCGATAGGTTACCACACGAGTGGATGGAGACCGCCATGAGCTTCAACTCGCGCTTTTTCTCCTCTTCCACCACTCTGTTTTTGTCGATCTCTGAAATGACCTCGGCCAGATCCCCACTGTCCAGCCTTCCAGAGATATACTGGACATGTCCTTTGCCATCTTGGTATTCGTATGTTCCTTCGATCTGGCTCATCGGCCTGAATTCAATATCAGAAGTCCCTGCCACCTGCTCAATCGCTTTATCCACGAGGGCCCGGTCCTTGAGACCGTCCGGCCCAACAACGGCCTTGATCTGCTTCCAGAGCTTCTTGTTCCTCTGCATTTGGGGCTTCAGCGCCACCCCTGACATCATGTCGAGCTCCTTGGCAGAGCTGACGTTGTGGTCTCTTCCTTCTACCGCGACCACATGCCGGTTGTAGGGTTCGCTGGCCAGTGCTCTGCCCAGGTAGTTCTGGCCGCTGCCGAAATCCACAAAGTGGGTGATCTCGCCACCGACCTGGCCCTTGATATCACTGGACAGCTGCGTAACGTAGTCGGCAAAGCTGCAGACCTCGTGGATCTTCTTTGGTTTCATCCCAACCGCCACGATCCGGGGTAATTCCGGGAGTTGCTTCTCCTTGGGAGCGAACTTTCGGTCGAGTGACAGCTCACGCACCTTTCGGATGTATGCAATCAGTGACTCGGGAGGTTGGTGCTCTCCCTCGTGTACGAACGTGTCCAGGTCTTCCCTCACGAGAAGATCTAGGAAACGCATGATGTCGCAGGAGAGTAAGAATGCGTGCCATTCTTCTGGCAGGGCGGCATAGAACGTGCCGGGCTCGATGGTGAAGAAATCGAGGATGTGAACACCACCGCATAATATGCGGAAGATATCTGACGTTGTGACAAAATTAAGCAGCTCCTTGATATAGGCGTCCGGAGATTCAAAGTTCCCAGTGTAAGGGAGAGGTCTCTCGGGTGGCATGGTGCCTGCTACAACTCTTATGCATTAGCACTCTGCTACCCTAAAACCATTCATGATCACACAAGGCTAAAAACATAGACAGTTCTGCTATTCACTAAGTTTCGTACCTTTTGAAGGCCTTTCTAGGCCAGAGGATTTGGACCAGTTACCAGGGGCTTCTCTCTTATTTGGGACTGATTCGCAATTAAAAAATGTACATCGAGTGACCAAGTAGGTATGCGAAGAGATTGGTATGGAGGGGGAGGGGCAGCGCCAGAGTGTCGCACAACTCAACGGTGATTTGAGTGGCAGAATGGTCTCGAGAAATAGACCAAAATGTTGTAGAAAACGAACCCGAGCGTAATCTTTCTCGCTAGCTGCTGACTCCAACCGATATCTCTCTGTAAAGCCCGAGAAAGAATTTTTGGTGTGCAACACTACAGTTGGACCCATCCGTTATTTTGCAAAGGTGAGATCTCGGTCAGCCTCGGTGTGGCGGTACGTACCTTCTCAAGTACCCATAATAATGGCCCTCAGACGATCGACTTGGCCAGATGCTCTTACAAGATGTCTAAACATGAATTTAAGAGTCCTGGATTGCATACTGCGACTTCCGCGTTTTTTAATGTTAAGAAGATATGTAAAATAGGGAAAGAGAAACTAAACGATAGATCGTTTCTCTCAAACGTCTAGACTATATGAGCCTATCCCAAATCTTACTCTTCTTTTTACACAACCAGCTGATATAGGCTCGAATTTAGCAGGTATTACAAGCAGTACCACTATTCTGGAACGAAGCTTTTGGAATTTTGATCGAGACATATTGTGATGCCTGAATTGAATGAATCTTCGATAGACATTCCTACTAGCATCTGGATCGCCGTGCTGAATCAGGCCGCCAAAGCCAATCGCTGTGGGGCTCGAAGTCAAGGTTGTGCCTAATTGCACTAATAAAGTATTCCCATGGCCGACTGGGGTTGCAACGTCATCCCTCTAATCAGCACCTCAACTATACCGAACTACCACATTGCCTACCAGGCTCTAACATCATTCCTTCATTTGCTACTGTATCCTCCTTCAAGGGAGCCACCGCCGTCCTTTCTGATTTTTAATCCACGTGCATAGCGCCTTGTTGCGGGAAGCATGATGTCGTCCAACGACGCGGATCCCTTCCTGGAGGTCCAACAGTAAGTTCCGATATCATTCCCTCGGCCGCTCCAAGCCGTTGTCAATTCAACGGACCGTTGCTAAGCCTCGCCTGTGCAGAGATGTCCTGAGCCAACTCAACACCACACGCTCCCTCTTCTCCTCATACCTGCGCATCCGCTCCCTCACAACAACAGCCTCCTCCCCCGAACTGGCCTCCGCCCGCTCCGACCTCGAGACCGCCCTGGAAGACCTCGCCGACGACCTCGCCGACCTCGTCGACTCCGTCCAGGCCATCGAGAGCAACCCGGCCCAGTTCGGCATCTCAAAGGACGAGGTCAAGCGGCGCCAGCGCCTCGTCCAGGATGTCGGCGGGCACATCGACGAGATGCGCGAGGAGATGCAGAAGAAGATCCTGGGCGGCGGCGCGGCGGCCGCCGGCACCGACCTGCCCGACCCCAGCGCGTACGCCATCCCCGAGGGTGACGACGACCCGTACGCCGAGTTCGAGCAGCAGCAGCAGGTCGAGATCATGCGCGAGCAGGACCAGCACCTGGACGGCGTGTTCCGGACGGTGGGGAACCTGCGCCAGCAGGCCGACACCATGGGGAGGGAGCTCGAGGAGCAGCGGGAGATGCTGGAGGTCGTGGAGGAGGCCACCGATAGGGTCGCGGGCAGGCTGCAGAACGGCATGCAGAAGCTCCAGCATGTGATGCGGAAGAACGAGGATAGGTTCAGCGGTTGCTGTATCGCTGTACTCATCTTTGTTCTTATCCTCCTGTTAATATTAATCTTGGTCCTATAGTGGCCTGGGGTGGTCTCCCTTCTCCTTCACGGGGTGTCTATATGAATTACTGCAGAGCGTGGCTTTCTCGGAGTTGGAGTTTGGATTGAATGGTACCCGTACTTTCTGCAGCGGTTACATGCAGTTCAAGACGGGTTTTCATTAATGGTTAGACATCTGGGGGGGCTTGAACCCAGCCCTTCTAGTATTTCTTTATATATAAATATTCTAAGCCTTTGTGAACACCAGCATGCAGCCGATCCGGGGGAAACCCAATTTAAGATCCAAGAAACGCCCTGATCATTTTTTCATAAGTTGTACCGCTTCATCAAATGCACTTCGCAGGCTACGCCTTAAGTGAGGACAAGGCCACTCTCACGGAGGACCTCGGCGAGCGCCCTCAGAGAGCCCGCCGCTGCCGCATGCTCCGGGGCCTTTTTGGGGAATTCGATCAGTGCGAGACGGAGAGCAGCGAGGCCGGCGTTGCCATAGAAGTTGAGGAACCGCTGCTCGTATCCTTCGATCATAGCCCTAAGTACAACATATTGCGTGTTGGAGATCAGCCCAACAGGGGAGTTGACGATGCCTGCGAGGGCCACCCAATAGTTTGTAGGGGGGTAAGGGTTTGTCCTCGCACTTTTGCTGAAGTCGCGCAATGACACAGCAGCGAATCCGGCACCGAGTCCTGTCATTCTGTCGTTGTGGCTCTGCTCGGTGATCCAGGAAGGCCCGTCCTTCTTCCACCCGAGGGCAATTCTGCCTCGTTCTGTCCTGTCATTCCCCCTCGAGCCGAAAACAACGGGGCATACAACCCGAAACTTGGACATCATAATGTCAATCAATGGCTGGCCCCGCCACATGAATTCCTTGGTTGAAAACACTTGGGCAGTGAAGACGCCAATGGGGTCTGCGGATTTGGGGTTGGCCCCCCCTTCGTTGATGAACTGGCTGATGATGCTCTTGGCGCAAATGTTGAGCAAGTACACGAAGAGCGAGGGCATGGTGAGATCATTGTGCAACGCGTCCTGGACAGGTTCTCTCTGGCCTACGACATAACGGCTGACGTCAATGGGAGGGCTTGGAACCTTGCCCTCAAGGGCGTCACGCAGTGCTGCCATGATTTTATTGGTCTATTTCTTGTTAAAGGCGTCAACCACACGTTAGTAGTTGAGAGTGTTCACTTACTGGCTGTGCATTGGCTCCTTTTGTTCCTGTCAGCTGACCAATCGATACCCTTATTTCTCTTCGATATGCGCCCAATTTGCCTTTCATAGGGGAACCGGGGACCTTCGATTCGGCGACTAAGTTCTTTCGTAGTTTCTTCAGCTCTTGATGTATTTCGGTATATCTGTTGATGAGCTCTTGGTTTGCTGCCTGCCCGTTGCTCACCGATTGGACAGGGGCGGGTTGCTTGGCTGGGGTGAGAGCGCCATTCGTAGGCTGTGACGGGGCCACGTTGTTTGGTTGTGCTGGCTTGGACAAGGCATTTTGGAATGGGTTTGCTGGAGCAGCATTTTGTTTCGCGGCAGCTGGGGGGAAGATGGAAGTCGATGGGGCGGCCTTAAGGGCTGCGTTGGCGGTAGACGCAGCTGGAGGGCCGAGTGTGGGAGCTGTAGGAGGCTTCGCGGCAGCTGGTGCGGGTGCCTGAGCTGGCGCCTTTGCCGGTGCTGGTTTGGGAGGAGGAGGAGGTTCTACTCTCGGAGATGGAGGTTCGGGTGGTGGTTTCGGTATCGTCTTCGCTTTCAGCTCTCGTAACCGCAATTCCTCGGCGGCGATCTGAGCTTCTACCTGAAGCCTCTGTTTTTCCTTGAGCTCTGCCTCTGCAATCCTCTTGCGTTCCAGTTCTAACTCGTGGAGCTGATAAGCCCGGATCGCAGCCTCGCGGACCCGGTCATGCTCAGCCTGGGCTGCTTCAAGCGCGTCTCGGTGGGAGCATTCTGTGTTACGGTCCTCGCCCAAGAAACTCGAGAGAAACCGTCGGTCGGGACTAGACAGTAATAGGCTTCGCCTCGAAGTAGGCGGTGATGACCGTGTCATGGTTAGGGAGTAAAGGCGAAAGGTTTGTTGTTATCGACAAAACATCTGGGATAAGCGAGGGCGGTCTTGATACCAATGATCGCGATAGTGTAATTATCGTCGCGCGTGTTCAAGGAAAAGCGAGAAAAAATTCAATTGGGCCTTTGCTAATAAGACAACCTGCGTTTACTTCGTACCGCCCCGGTTTGGAGCTCTGTCTTGTCAGGTTGAGGTTGAACCTCCCTTGAACTAGTAACTTGGTTTTTCCGGTTGGACGATCGATAGCTGATTAGCATTTGCCATATGCATGCACATCTCCAGCCTTGTCTGGGGATTATGACAGCCACATGTGGCGTTGGTCAGATTTTGTGGGGACAGGAGCTTGGCATATGTGCTACTACCCTGTACCTGTACGATGTGATGAGATGCTTGCGTTGCTGGGCAATCATAATTAAGGACGGGCTGGCCCAAGAGCTGGTCCAGGCTTGAATCCTCGCAGCGCTATTGGTGTTTGGCTCGTGGCATCATCTCAAATGGCCTCCAGGACACCTTCATGGATCCTGGAGAGGATTTTCGGGCTTCCTGAAGCAAGCTAATGTTTCTGATCCCTGATCTTACGGCTTGGTGGTGGGCTTCCGTGCGGAACGAAGCTGCCACGGCGAAGGTCCGAACGTTCTTACACGCCGCGCAAATACGTGATTGGTTTACATGGTCATCTATAAATAATAGGATGCATGAATGAAGCATTGATGCGTATGATTGGCAACTCAATCCGTGCCCCGTTTACACATGTTGGGGTTCGACGAGAAAGGCAACTGGAATGGTGACACTAGAAATGATTAGCAGATCCTCAAGTGTTACCATGAGACGGCGGCCTCGACGCAGATTTGTACAAACAAACATACCTGCAAGGCTGGGACGTGGGTTGTGTGTTTTGTTGACCTTGCCTGGGTCCATGATGGTAGTAATTATGAAGCCCCACTGGGCCCAGGTCTTGGCCACCGACCTACGGCCACCTACCTAATCAAACTGACGGCATCTCGTCCGGTTGAACCAGCCAGGAGTCGCGGAGATTGTGTGGCCTTGCCGCTGCCAGTCTTGTGCTCTGGCTGACTTTTCTGTGGCACGTAATCATGGCCCTTGCCTCGTTTGGTGTGTAATAAGCTTTGGAAGACATGAAATTTTTTCGACGCCTTCTACTTGTAACTCGCTTCCACTCGTGACCAAGGAATAAGGGGGTTAGACATATGACATCGATGTACTATTATAGCACGAGCGGCGGGTGGACCCAGTGCATTATTATTATGGTTGCATTACGGCCAAGTCAATAGGTCAACGAGGCGAGACATCACTAAAAGCTGGGGATACTGGAATTGGGGCGGTAAGAAAGGCAAGACACATATGCCCGGAGCTTTGGGTCAGTGCATTTCGACATTCATCGCTGCCTGGGAATAGGCAGTCAGCAGCCGTGTCCGTTCTCGTAAAAGACACAATCCACCTTCACAGTTGGTTCATGTATGTACATACCTGGGTGGCATACGGGGTCAAGGATGGCTCCCTAACGTCGAATTGGACTAGCGGGGACGGGCTCTAATAGTGCTAGCAGTAGTTGTTGTGGTGATCGTTGGAGGATTTACATCAGAGGCTGTCTGAACTCTGGTGATCATGTACAATAGTGCATGCCACCTGAAAGTATGTAGCTAGCCGGCGGCGAGTGCGAATGTCGAAGGTATTGGCTGGAATGGCGGGCGAGGTCCTGTCAAGTACCGGGCGGTATCCATGGATGAGATGAGAAAACAACCTCCTTGCCATCGAGCAGTCCAGGACATGTGCCCGTTGCTGGGAAAAGGTGGATTCTGGGCCTCATCATCACCGGCCGGCGGACCCCTAATGATGCACACCAGTTTGCCGCCACCACGGCCAGCCAGTGAGAAGAGCCAGTGTGGCACCTCTGCCGCCCCCCAGCTCTGCGGGAAGATTGCTGTCGCCCGCACGGAATACATCAATGGTGTCTTGTGTGTTGAACTTATAGAGCAACCGCGGTAAATGATGGCCTGGCCGGGCGATGGAACCCCACTGACGGCAGTGCCCTACGCACTACCTACGGTCTCCCGCCAGCAGGGTAGCAGTAGTTGAGTTGGTTGCGGCGGGCTGGGACCTGTCTGGAAGGAGCCCTGTGAGGTAGGGAGCTGAGGTTAGCAGGCGATGGGCTTCCCCATCCTCATCCTCCACCTGTGTCGTCTCTTCCATCACGCTAGTAGTAGCCCGCCCAACTTGCAACCCGACCCTCTCTCCATTCCCATCTCCATCATCACTCCTCCTTACCTTCCTCGCCGTCTTCCTTTCACGGCTTCCTGTCGTAACTCGTCAGACATCTGTCTCGACATCACCGCCCTCCTTTCCCACGTTCCTTGGCGCTTCGGCTTATTCACCGACTCTGCCGGCTCCATCAATCACTCACACAGCTACTCCATACCAAAAAAAAAGTACCCTCCTTTGCCTACTCTGTCCTCCCCGCCGACGCCACGCCCGCAGCAGCAACCCGCCCGCCTTTGTCCGTCCATCAACAGACGAGAACCAGATCTCTGCAGCAAGCAGCACAGAGAGCAATCAATCCCTCACGATATACATACTCAACCCACACACCCTACTGCCTTGAACTCGGTACCCCCCAATACTAGTGCTGATCGCATTCGACTTGCTGCTACCTCCTCTTGCTTGCCATGGAGCAGCAACAGCAGCAAAGCCAGCAGCCGCAGCAAGGCCAGCCGCCCCAGCAACCCCAAGCTGGTGGTGTGCATGGCCCAGCTGGACGTCGCTTGCATATTGCGCATCGTCGGAGTCCTTCAGAGTTGACTCCGTTGATGAGCATGTTTGCCAATCCTGGAAGTAAGTCCCACCATGCTTCTCATAGCCTCCCAATGCTTCCTGGTTCTACAATTCGCAACCCTATGAGACACTTACCACCACGAAACCCAATTCCCAGCTCCCTCCAGCTACCTTCCCCTCCCCCTCGACGGCCAGTGCCACTAACCAGCCATCCTCGTCACAGTGGAACAGTTGGCTATCCAGCAACAAATTGAGCTGCTTCAACAACAGCAACAACAGATCCAAGCTACACAGCAACAATATGTCAACCTGGGGATGATGCCCCCAGGTCAACCCATCCACCCTGGCGGACAATTCAATCCTTTGCAGTCCATGGGAAACCTCCAGCAACCGGGCTTTCAGTTCCCAAACCAAATGGGACAACAGAACATGGCCCCTCCGAGCCAACCAATGTCACATCGCCGTAATCAGTCGGCATTTCCCAACATGGGCATGGGCCCTCCTCCAGCGCCCTCCTCTGGTGCGTCTGGATCCAACTTCGGAAACTTCGAAGCTCCCGGAGCTGGTGGTGGGCAGCCCCGAGAGAACAATGCCGGCCGCGGAGGTCGTGGCGGCGGCGGCTCCGGCGGCGGCCATCAACGTCGACACTCTTTGGCCCTAGCCGATGCGAAGAAGGCTGCCGAGCTCGCCCAGCAGAAGCGAACGACGACCGGTTTCCAGTTCCCCGCAGCCAACGCCGACGATGAGAATAAAGGTCCATCTCAGTCCGGCGCTGATCTTGCCCCTCCAGCTGCTGGAAGAGGGGGACGAGGCGGTCACGGCCGCAGCCAGAGTATGGCCGTCAATGGTCGTGGTGGCTCCCGTGGCTCCTTCGGAGGTGATGGAAATGACGCCCCACGCCGAGGAGGCCATGGACGATCCGGCTCCAGAAACTTTGAAGGTAACTGGAGAAATCAGAGCCAGAGCCAGGATCAGGGTGGGAACACTGGCTTCCAGCCTGGTCACCGGTCTCAAGGCTCGATGAACCAGTCCGTCTCGAATATTGGTGGCTTCCAGTATAACCCCAACAATCCCCAGCTCATGCAGCTCCCTGGCCAGATGGTAATGCCTGGCATGTATGGACAACAGCTCAACCCAATGCAACAGCTCCAAGCTCTTCAGGCCGCGCAGCTCAACGGACAGCAGCTCCAAGGTTTGCAAAGCTCTCAGCATGCCGGGCCAATGGGTGGCCAGCAACAACAGCAGCAGCGCAAGACCCTTTTCACTCCTTACCTCCCACAGGCCTCACTCCCCGCACTCCTTGGGGACGGTCAACTCGTTTCCGGTATTCTTCGTGTGAACAAGAAGAACCGCAGTGACGCTTATGTCACCACAACCGATGGAGTCCTTGACGCTGATATCTTTATCTGCGGTAGCAAGGATCGCAACCGTGCCCTGGAGGGAGATCTGGTCGCCATCGAACTCCTCGATGTCGACGAAGTCTGGTCCCAGAAGCGTGAGAAGGAGGAGAAGAAGAAGCGCAAGGACATCACTGATACCCGTTCTGGATCCGTCAACCAGGGCAACCGAGGCTCAGAGAACAACGATGACAACAATGCCGCAGAGGGTGGTATCCGCCGCCGCGGCAGTCTTCGCCAGCGTCCCACGCAGAAGAAGAACGATGATGTGGAAGTTGAAGGACAGTCTCTGCTCCTCGTTGAGGAGGAAGAGATCAGCGATGAGCAGAAGCCCCTTTACGCTGGCCATGTCGTCGCAGTCGTTGAAAGAGTTGCCGGCCAGATGTTCTCTGGTACTCTTGGACTGTTGCGTCCCAGTAGCCAGGCAACCAAGGAGAAGCAGGAGGCAGAGCGAGCCGCTCGTGATGGTGGTAATAACCGTCACAATGATTCCCGCCACCAGGAGAAGCCCAAGATTGTCTGGTTCAAGCCAACAGACAAGCGGGTGCCACTCATTGCTATCCCGACCGAACAAGCACCTCGGGATTTCGTAGAGAAACACCAGGATTATGCCGACCGCATCTTCGTGGCATGCATTAAGCGCTGGCCCATCACCTCCCTCCATCCTTTCGGAACCCTTGTTGAGCAGCTGGGTCGTATGGGCGACCTCAAGGTCGAGACTGATGCGTTGTTGCGCGACAACAACTTCTCATCCGACGAGTTCTCAGATGCTGTTCTACGAAACGTTGGCCTGCAGGATTGGTCTGTTGCAAAGGAGGACGCAGAGGCTATTGCCGCTCGTCGTGACTATCGCGAGGAGGCTACTTTCACCATCGATTATGACGGAGGTGCCGAGCTCGGAAATGCCGTTCACGTTAAGCATCTCGACGATGGCAAGATTGAAGTTGGTATTCACATTCCTGACGTCACGCACTTCGTGAAGCCCAACTCTCTGGTCGACCGTGAAGCCAAGAAGCGTGGTACCTCAGTTCAGCTGCTCAACAGGTTCTGCGCCCTGTTGCCAGCAAAGCTGGCTAACGAGGTTTGCTCGCTCGTTACTGATCAGGAACGCTTGACCGTCAGTGTAGTCTTCCAGGTCAACGCCCACACCGGTGCGGTTGCCGAGGGCGATAGCTGGGTGGGCCGCTCCATCATCAAGAGCACTGGCAAGGTTTCACTGAAGGATATTGATGATGCTCTGACGGAGCCCTCTGCCTTCCAGAATGAAGCTGTTCCTGCCACTACACTCCAGCTGCTTCACAATGTTGCGAAGAAGTTCCGCGAGCGCCGTCTTACTACCGGTGGTGAACCTGTTGCGCCTCTTCGTTTGTTGCAGCAACTGGACGATGAGAACAACCCGGTCCAAGAGAACTTGTTTGACTCAACCGATTCTCTTGAACTCGTCGAGGAGCTCATGCACAAGGCAAATGCCTATGTAGCCGAGCGCCTTGTCCAGGGTTTGCCTGACAAGGCTCTGCTTCGCCGCCAGGCCCCTCCCAACCCCCGTCGTCTGCAGACCTTTGTTGAGCGCATGACTGCGTTGGGCTATGACATCGATAACTCAAGCAGCGGTGCTCTGCAGAACAGCCTTTTCAAGGTCGAGGACTCAGATCTCCGCAAGGGTATGGAGACTGTCTTGGTCAAGTCTATGCAGCGAGCGAAATACCTGATCGGAAGCAAGACTCCCAAAGGGCTCTGGGCCCACTATGCGCTCAACCTCCCACTGTACACCCACTTCACGAGCCCTACCCGCCGATATGCTGATGTTATTGTCCACCGTCAGCTCGAGGCCGTGTTGTCTGAAGGCAAGGTCGAATTTACCGACGATCTCGAGAACCTGGTCAAGACTGTCGAGGCTTGCAACACTAAGAAGGAGTCTGCCCAGAACGCCCAGGAACAGAGCATCCACATCGAAGCTTGCCGAACCATGGACAAGAAGCGACAGGAAGCTAATGCTGATCTGGTTACTGAGGGAATTGTCCTGTGCGTCTATGAGTCCGCTTTCGACGTTCTTATTCCAGAATGGGGATTTGAGAAGCGAGTCCACTGCGACCAGCTTCCTCTCAAGAAGGCTGAGTTCAGGAAGGAGAAGCGTGTGCTCGAGTTGTACTGGGAGAAGGGTGTCCCCAGCTCCGCTTACGTCCCTGAAGATGAGCGCCCTAAGGCAGCCGCCTCTCAGAGAATGAACAATGCACTTGCGGCACAGAGGCAAGCCGAAGAGGCTGAGAGAGCCAGGAGGGAGAGGGAGGAGGCTGCTCGCAAGCAAACCGAGACTGGAACCATCTCAACCGACGATGTTGATGCGCTGTTTGATGACGACGATGACAACACGTCGGATGTGACTGAAGCCATGGCCGGTGCCTCGCTTGCTGAGCGGCCCACCCAGAGCGTTCCTGGATCACCTGCACGAACCGCCACCAATGCTGGCGATCTGCACCGTACTCGCTCTGACTCCAAGGTGCCTGTTGGAGATGCTGTCGAGTCCCGCCTGACCAACAAGGACAAGTACCTGCAGCTTTTCACCCTCAGGGAAGAGGGAGGTGACTACATCCAGGATGTCACCGAGATGACCAGAGTGCCCATCATTCTGAAGACTGACTTGAGCAAGAGCCCACCGTATGTTTTTACCTTTGGCCCCATTGACTCGTTCCATGCTCCATACTGACATAATGTTCTATCTAGTTGCCTCACAATCCGTTCTCTCAACCCTTACGCGCTCTAAGCACTGTCCATCAGATTGTCACAAAAAGGATTGGCTGTAAGAGTCGGTGCAAGCAATTAATGCCACAACAAGCAGTTCACCCACCCCTGAGAGGAGGATGCCTCGCCGCGTTGTCGAGAATATGGTGTTTGCCCGCAATGTCACGGGTCAAGCCAAGTCGGAGTGTATATTGATAACAGTATGGAATGGAATTGTGGAACATGGCGAAGCGGCTCAAGTAGTTACAATGATAACCCCCAAGATTTAGTCTGCAATACAATTCTTAATATATTAATCAGACTGACGGATCGACTCGTGAGTAGCAAGCAACTGTGACATGTTCAAAAACCCCCATCCCCTGCAACATAATAGATTTAGTCCCAAGTGACATGAAGGCTTTCAACTGCGAATGTGTGCTATTTTTATTTGGTAGTTACCATAAGGCTAAGTGACAAACAAATGTATAGGTTGGCCAGGCATCATTCGCTTGTTCTTGTGGTGGGTTATTGTGCTCACCCCCCCTTTTCTTTTAAACTTTTTTTCCTCGAAGAGACCATATGGCATGGCGTTTTTTATCAATAGTCTGATATGCATCATAGCTGAGCTCTTCTCCCTCCCTCATAGCGTCGACCAGGCAGCGGACAGCCTACTCAGTGATTCCTTTCGGTAACCAGTCCTGTTCCATATTCCTGATCAATGCCGAGGATATCTACTACAGACCTTCAGGTCACCTGGACAAGAAGGATCCATTTTACAACCCCAGCTAAAACAATATCACCCCTCACTCAGTTATGATACCGATTTTCATTAGAGATGCCTTAGAACGGCCGTACATCGAGATAGTCTTGAGCTTTAGCCCACGCTGACTTATCGGCAGCAGGCAGCTCGTTACTTTCCAATGTCTGTACACCTTTGTTGATCGCGTCGATGAAGCCAACGCAAACACGGAAGTCCTCCGTGAGCGCTTCGGCAAATGGGACAAAGGTTTTGGGGAACTCTTCCAACCGAGATCCCCTTGCCTCCTTAGTGTCGCTCGCCTCATCTTCGTCGAAGAAGGTTCGAATGGCAATACCAAGACCGATATCTGGTTCTTTGGAAAACGGGAGCCTGGTCAACTAGATTAGCCATTATACATATATTACGCATAAGCATGTGTTTATTACCTTTGGCTTATTTGCAAATAGTCATCGCGCTCACGCTTACTCTGCCCAAACATGAACATGGATGCGACGATGGCCTCAATAAGATCACGATCGGCTTCGCGAACAGTTGTTGATAGTGAGCGGAATGAGAGAAGGCTCTTGTTCAACGGCCCGGTGTAGCCATAGAACTGGTGTCTAAGCTTCAGCAATGTCGCGCATTCACTGATCAGGGCAAGACTCGATTTCTCCTCGTCGGTCCCCTTTCTAGGGTGACCAGGCAGAGGCTCACGGTTTCGGCCGTTCAGAAGACCCAATTTGATGAGTTCAAAGGCAAGCAAAGCGGCCTCGTCCAGACCGGGGACTCCCTCACATTCCTCCACGACGTCTTGGATAGCAAGCAGCGTGGTTGCCAACGCGTTACCCCACGGCGTCAACCTGTGAGAATCGTTTACGTAGCCCCGTAGATGAAGAAAGCGCCAGATTGCCACGGAGGTGACCAATTCGGGACTGTCAATGCCTCTGATAACCTTCTCTTTAGCTGTAGTCTTGGCGGCAAATTCATCGTTGGCAAGGGCTAGCACTTCCAAAGACACCGGACCAGCGAAATCCTCGGGGAAGCAACTGCGGATATCCTCTTCCTTCACGTCCCAAGACCCAACCTTCTGAGAAGGAGGAGGTTGCAAGGAGCTATGGTTGAGGGTGTACGAGAATTTGGAATCAAACCACACTCTCATCTTGACAGCCTTGTGGCCAATACCACGGTGGACTCGGGGGATGATCAGTCCCAGAGTTTGCTCTTTGATGGGAACAATTTGTGATGTCACGAGCTTCTTGTACTCCTCAGAGGCCACACCATCGAGGGTGGGTTGGACTATGACCTGACCATGTGTTATGCTGTTCAAGGTTCGCGATCCAATAAGACCCGTGTTCAGGTAGTGAAATAGTTCTTCGGGTAACTGAAGGCCCAGATATTCATGGTTATCGCCGGTCAATCGATCATACTCATTCACCTTTACCTCACCGCTCTCGGCGATGTAGATGAAATGATGGACTGCCAATCGTGCCTTGCGATAGTTATCAAGCCAATTAGGATCCTGCGATTGCAGGATATCGTTGAATGAAGCGCATGCATTGGCGACGTTCTTATCGGCCGTCCGTAACATGTTGATCGCCTCCATGATAGTGAATTGGTTTTGATAGATTGACCTGTCTTGCAATGGCGGAAAGGGGGAGAGGAACGATGTGCCTGTCATCAGCAACGCATCGATGAACATGGCTTCGCTAACATTAAGTGTGCGCATTAGCTTCTTCTTAGACACAGCCGTGACGGTCTTTGCCTCCCAGTCGAAACTGCGAATAACGGAATCCTTGATGGGGTAGAGGAGTAGTTCCTGAGACCCCATGATTCCTGCGCATTGGTCTGAGTCGATCTTCTCAAAATAAGCAAGCTTAAATGTGCGTTAGCTGAGTCTGTATAGGATATGATATTACCACCAATGTTTGACAGAAACACACCTGAGCACTCGCGTTGTAGGGAGGGACAAGGAAATGCAGGCTTCTCTCTTGAAGAATACCCTGAAGCAAGGGGTATAGATTTTGTACACGGAAAGCACCTGGTAAAAACATCAAGTGTTAACGAGGCGAGTGCGCGCTAGTGAGGAAATCGGCCATGAAGAAAAAGCATACCTGGATTCGCTCCAAAAGCAGTCACCGCCTGTTCAGCTTCTGACTGCGAGTAGAGATCCCATGCCTCGTTCGTCTTCAGGTTGGCCTCCCGGCCACGCTTCATGGTTACCTCATCCTGTCCTGTGATGGACTGTCCGTCGAAAATGAAGAATGGAACAATGTGATTCTTCTCCCAATTGTCCAGGTCCTCGTTGATGTGCGATTGAATGCCAGTCAAGCCACCGAGGGCAGAAAGAAGAGGTTCATGAGCAGGCGAGGTGTCGAGAAGGTGGTTGAGATAGTAGGTAGCGTCAACAGCTATAGCACAGTCTTCGAGCTCGGCAAGATTATGATTTCTATTGCAGCAGAACGTCAGCCTTGGCAAGGTCAAGGGGGAACATGTGGTAGACGCACGTTGCCTGGTCATTGATCCAGGCATCCTCAACAAGGACTGTTTCCAACCAAGTTAGCATGCATTCGCAGCAGAAGAAGCTATCAAGACCCAGCGCATGTCAGAGCAAAAGATCCTTGCATCACAGCCTGACATGTCATAGAGAGTTGTATAAGCCAACAGCTTGCAACCGCCTCAATGCCTATACCTCTAGCGAGGTAAGCTGAAATTGAACAACCGTGACATGGCCTTCCAAAGGGTATGGGGTTTCAGGCAACTCTGCCTGCAAACAACAAGCCCCAGGTCCTTTATGAGAGGGAGTAGGGCTGCGACTTGACCACAGTCTGATCATCCAAGTCGCAAAGACCCCATAGTAGCACACAAGGCTCGGAATTACTCACGAGGCATTTCGAACGGCCCTCCTTATACAAGAACGCTTCGTGTACGGTTCGTCGCCGTGGGCGCCAATGAGGGGTGTTGTCGGAGGAATGTAGGCTCAGGAGGGGCAGACGGAGACGAGATGGCGGAAAGTACTGCACGCTGAATTCGACGTCACGGGCTCGAAGATGATCAGGATTGGAACCTGGGGCTAAATCGCATCGAAATCGGCGTCGCTGGGGAGGATGACGTGGAACAACAAATAAGTAGCACAGAGAACAGACAGTTGTCTTTAGTTCGAGGTGGCCCTGGAGCGATGCGGGAGGAGGGTAACAGGAGCTAGCCTGTAGACCTGCCTCAACACTGAAGAGTCCCTGCCGCGGTTGGCAGAAGGAAAAGGATCGCAGCGAATAGAAGAAGAGGCCGCGATGCGTGTATCGAACCGAATCGAAGGAGCGGCGGGATGTTTGTGGGGGTGGGTTTTTTCGATATTCAGGCACACCCTTAAAGTCACCAAATGTTGAGGTCAGACAGGGAAGCAGCAGCTGCTGGAGGTGGCGGGCGGCAGGTGAGTGAGCTTGTGAAGTAGACGCACGTAGATGGGTACATTCAAGCTTCCAGGCCTGGGAGCGTGGGCCCTGAAACCTCCGTAAACTCAGTGCTTATCCAAAGTACCGACCGAGATGCAGAGGTACCGCCGCCTTCTGTGGTACTTGGAGCGTAGAAGCAGCTTGAGCCCTGGGGCAGGCAGCACAACCAAACCAACGAATTCTGGTAGTACCGAGGAATGCGACTACGTGGTTTATCTACTTGTACAGGAGGGAGACTTCTCTTAATTTGAAAGCCCAGATGGAAACCAATAGTTATATTTCACATTTGATCCTCCAGCTCACAATTGTTTCCAGTGCATCAGGTATCTGCCTGAGGTACATACTTTGCTGACCGAAGCGGGCCTATACTTCAGACGTAAGACTGCTACCTCTCAGTAGTGCCTGCCCTATGAATTAGTACGTCAGCACACCGAACCTCACTCATTGCCGCTGTGATCGGCGAATTGCCGAGTCACACGAGCAAGGAAGTATGTTGGTCGGTCAATTATTGGATAGGATCAAGATGTTGGATGCATCTCACTTTCCACATTACTAAATTAATGATCAATCAGATAAGGCAGGTAGCTTCTGGCTCAAAATCCCGAACCGCAATAATGTACATTCACCGACAAGCATAGGTACCTACATTGAACACGTAACTGGTAATTAGAGATATTGGATTTGAAAACCTAATATCTACAGAACAGGGTAGCATAGCAATTGATGCATATAGAACCAGGCCACTCCCAAGACCATTCCCAAAAACTGCTGAGCACAGAACCAGCAACGGCCCTAGTGCTCACAGAAACCCCATTCCATATTTTTGAAATGTGTATCAGTGTCCTTCAACTTTGC